GCTAATGACAGAGGGTACAAGAAAATAAGTAATTCACACAAACCACCCCTTCCTGCCCCTCCCTTCCCTCATTTCCTCTGCCCCCATGAGGTGGTATAGAATAACCTCTGGGCCCTAGCAATTCTTCCTCCTGGCTACTGCAAAAATTGACTCTGTCCTGGCCAGAACCAGCACACCATCATAGAAGGCCCCTAGATTGGTCAGGCATGATTTGTCCTGTAGCAAAACCATGCTGACTGTCTTGCATCACCTCCTTGTCATGATGTTTCTTCAATGAGGATCTGCTCCATGATATTCTGGGGCACAGAAGTGAGGCTCACAGGGCTGTATTTTCCTGTCTCTAGTTTCTCCTCATTTTAAAAATAGGTGTAATGTTTCCCTTTTTCCAGTCACTGGGAAATTTGTCTGACTGCTGTGAATTTTAAAATATGACAGAGTGGTTTGGCAAAAGCATCAGCCATTTCCCTCAGGACCTTGGGTTGCATCTCATCAGGCCCTATAGACTTGTACCTATTCAGTTTCATCAAGTGTTTGGATCGACAGGAAACTAAACATGAGCCAGCAGTGTGCCCAGGTGGCCAAGAAGGCCAATGGCATCCTGCCCTGGATCAGGAACAGTGTGACCAGCAGGAGCAGGAAAGTGATCCTTCCCCTGTACTAAGTGCTGGTGAGGCCACCCCTGGAGTGGTGTGTCCAGTTCTGGGCCCCTCAGTTCAGGAAGGATATTGAGGTGCTGGAGCAGGTCCAGAGAAGAGCAACGAGGCTGGTGAAGGGACTTGAGCACAAGTCCTATGAGGAGAGGCTGAGGGAGCTGGGGTTGTTTAGTCTGGAGAAGAGGAGGCTCAGGAGAGACCTCATCACTCTCTACAACTACCTGAGAGAGGTTGTAGCCAGGTGGGGGTTGGTCTCTTCTCCCAGGCAGCTATCAGTAAGACAAGAGGGCATGGTCTGAAGCTCTGCCAAGGGAGGTTTAGCTTAGATGTTTGGAAGAAACTCTTTACAAAGAGAGTAATTAGGCATTGGAATGGGCTGCCCAGGGAGGTGGTGGATTCTCTGTCCCTGGAGGTTTTTAAGATGAGACTAGATGTGGCACTTAGTGCCATAGTCTAGTAACTGTGGTGGTAGTGGATCAAGAGTTGGACTTGATGATCTCGGAGGTCCTTTCCAACCCATCTGATTTTATGATTTTAAGTGGACACAAACCTGGGCTTCACGTACAGTAGGAGGAACTTCGCTCCCCTAGCCTCATCTAGAGGTTATGGGGTAGCTATTTGTTTTCATTGTGGCTCATTTGGATCAAATCTCAGACAAATCGAAGTCTCTTACATTCTTACAACATTGAAAATAACTGTTGAATTTGAAATAGCTGAATTAATAACCTCATAGTCAAGCAAAACATTGTCAAAATAAAATCATAGGTATCCAAGGTGCATCAGTTTCTCACAGCTTGGGAGAGCAGTCTCAGTAGTTCATAAAACCAGAATATCAATTAGACCAGAATATCTATACTTTTTAGCCTTGATTTAGAAAGCAGATGAACTTACCTGTTTAGACTTTTTAAAAATTAAGACATTTTCTTCATGTGTCAGTGGCTATGTTCAAATTATGGGAATCGTGCAATGTTTCAAGTTCCTGGATTTGAGTTCATGCTTCAGATGCAGACTTCCTTTTATTTTCCTAGTGTGGCTCCACAGTTTTTTCTAGTCTGTGTCAATCATCAGCATCCTGCCTTTGCAACTGGATTTGTTATTTGCAAATTCTCTGTCCAGCCTAAATGAACCATATCAACCTCTCTGGTAAAAACAAGGGAAGATCAGAAGAAAAACAGAAGACATGTCTTATTTATCTAGAGTGCTGTACTTTATCTGGAGTGCATGTGAATTCCTGAGCGACAGCATAGAAGCATAGAAGACAGCATAGAAGACAAACCCAGTATTTCAGCATATTTTTCTAACATCTACTGCAAATAGATTGCTCACTATATTAGTTTAATGCATAAAATGAATCCCAAAATAAATGTTTCTAGACCCAGAAAGTACCACCTTTATTAAACAAGAAAACTTTCACAAGTATTATTATTTTCAGGTTTTTGCTCAAAAAGCATCTTTTTGAATGACTGTAAATATAATATTGATGAGACTGTATCTGCAATAACGTGTCTAGTTGTGGGCTCACCTGTACAAGAAGGATGTGGACCAAGAGGAGCAAATAGAGTAAAAGGATATGAAAGTGATGGAGGAACTGGAGCATCTCCCATGAGGGGGCTGACAGCTGCAACTGTTCAGCCTAGAGAACAGCAGACTCAGAAGAATCTTATCCAAGTGTATAAATATGGGATGGGGGAAGTAAGAAGAATGAAGCCACACAGTTCTGGGTGATGCAGAGTGATGGAATGAAAGACAACAAGTGCCAACTGAAATACAGGAAATTCTTCAACACAGAATTTTTCTTCATTTAAGAAAAGTCATTTTTACAGTGAGGGTTGATGAATGCCGTACTAATTGTCCAGGGAGGCCTTGAAGTGTTCATTGTTAAAGATAGCTAGTCATGGTTGGAGGTGGGCTCTGAGCTGTGTGACAGGGGGAATGTGAAACTGGGCGCTTAATAGGATTTTCAGTACAGATGGGCATGATTTTGTCCATTTTTGTGAAGAAGAAAATACAGTATGTAATTGAACACGAAATATACATGGTTTATAAGCTGAATGTACATTGAACCTACACTATATTTTATTTACAGCTAGTGTATGGTAATGTTTGAAGGATTGCCATATTCTGCTGTCTGACTTTTCATTATATGATTGAGAAAACTGAGGCTGCATTTTTTTCAATTTCCTCAGTCTAAGAAATGTGTCTAATTATTCCCAAGAAGAAAATTGTAAGAATTATTTGTGCAGTAAAAAGAGAATCTGAAATTATTATGATCCTGAGAAAATAAAAGGTAGGAACTCTGGTAGAAATCAGCAAAAACTAGTATGAATTTCCCAAACATTGTTTCTTAGACTAAGACATTGCGATGATACATGAAGAATGGGATTGTTATTTGTCTAGTTATTTGCATGAGAACTCTAATTTTCCGTATGAGCAATTCCATTAGCTATCCTAGAGAGGCTGTGAGATTTTTTTTCTTGCACAAGGTGCAAAGGGAGCAATTCATGCTGGGCTTTTGTTCTTGGAAAATTAATATTAGGCTTGACATTGTTGATAGATTGTTTGTTTTCAGGAAATTTTCTCTATTCCATGATGCATGTTAAAAGTTTGTTTCAAGACACTTAGCCAATACCCTTTTTTGCACGTTTGTAAGAAATAGATAGTGGAAGAAGTATCACAATGACAGTAACCATTTTGACAGTCATCACTGAGAAGAGAGCATTAAAAATGCAGTCTCATTTAATTTATTGTCAGAGCTATTTAGCAATCCCTGTCCCTTGTGAAGTCATAATTATTCTACTGCAGCAGCCATCCTTTCCCTCTCCCCCTGCCTCTCCTAGAAATACTGAGAAAGGTAATACAGTAATGCCATCTACTACTCAGAATGTATGCTGAAGTTGAAAGAATATATCTCTCTGTGTTTGTCACAGCAACCTCTGTCAGGCAGACACAGAGGGCATACGTTAAAGCTGTCCCCTTTGCATAGCACCTGAGGGGGGACAGAGACTGTACTGACATACAGGAAAGTGTGTTTCTGTGCAAATCCAGCTCTAGTCTCTTTTATCGTGTTTTGAATCAAGTTCATGGATTAAGATACATGTGATTAAAATCCATTTCTAAAAGCTGGATTTAGCTAGAATGATATTATAACAAAGTAATGTCCCAATAAGAATCACTTTGGTGTGTTTTTGCTCCCACATTTTAAGTTCTTTGTCATGACAGTTATTAGCCTCTGTTGGAAGTGAACTGTTGTACTCAAAATACAAATATTTTTGTAAGTTATTCTACATAAATCTAAGAAAACAGTAATAGTATTGTAGCAATGCGAGACAATGCCAGGTCTACAGGACCTTGTCACTGAGTCCTTAAACCTGAGTCCTTGTCTTTTCCCAGCTAGACCTCTTATCAGTTAATTCAGATAATATGATCACTCAGTTAGTCCTCTCACACCTAGGAGAATGTCATTAAATTAGGGCTGATTTACATGGCTAGCCTTACAGTGTAGTCACTGTGAAGTAGAGATGCCTTTGTTGGGGCCAGTGTTTGACAGAGAGAACTTCCAAAGAATTGGTGAGTCCAGATATAACACAGTCCTTTTCTGATCCTTTGTTTCCTCAAGTGAGCAGCTGCTCTTATGGGTGTCTGGTCACTGTGCTCTGAAAATGAGTCACTTAGGTCATACCGAGACACATGGGTCAAAAGAAACCATTACAAGAACTTGATGCAGCTACTGGTGCTCTGACATGCTGAGCAAGTGAAGCGTAAAATTTGGCCAAAACACCAGAAAAAAAATGCTTCATATCTTATGAGAAAAAAAATTTCCACCAAATTTTTTTCTTTGTAAGCATTTGGATTCTTTCAGTGTTTCTTCTTCAGCTAAGCAAAGAACTCATTGGCATCCTCACCATTTATGGTTTGATCCATGTACGTTTTGGTCAGCAGAGTTAACATCGAGCAAAAATGTGCTGTGGTTAACGAAACATGAGTTACTTGAATATGTAAAAGAGAAAGTGTTGCACATATGCAAAGGCACTTTAGTGATTTTTCTTTTCAATGTGTGTTAGAAATTAATTTCGGTGGAAGTGTATCACAGTTGCTGGTAGCTATCTGATTTATGCACACGTTGCCTTGCCAATGCAGCATCAAGCTGAAAAGAGAGTGTTTCTTTGGTCAGTATTTCATTTTCATGAAGGCTAACATTAGCATTAGCCCATTAGTAAGATTATAAAACTTGAAACACACATAGTAATAAATCTCCTCCAATTACCAAGTTGTAAAAAGCAGTTTACTGCTAATTTCAGTGCAGTGGCTCACTCACTGATTTGAGAATCCATCCTTCTTTGTAAATAGAGCAGAGATTGCCTGAGGCTGGGTCCACCTGCAGAGGGAGAGGTTGTCCAAGTGAAATGGCCTGATGGAAAACTGTACAGTGCAAAGTATCTGGGAACAAACATAGTTTATATGTATCAGGTGAGTATCTATTTTTATTGCCATATGCTTGCTTTTCAGATGTCTTTATTGTAAATTGCTCATTTGGCTCTAGCATTGGAGCAGCCAGTCACACCTTCAAAGATGCAGAAGGCTGAAGTTTGGATTCTTATTGTAGCTTTTTATGAATTTAAATTAGTATATAAAACTGTCTGATGCAGTAGGAAATGCTCTGAACTCTTTAGGAGTTGAGGTTTCACTTGTTCTTACAAAATCAAGAAAATTACTTGTTTAGTAAGAAATTGGGTGAACAGGTGGAACTTTAAGATTGAAACATAACATTTGTTATTTTCTGCAGGTTATTTACTTTTATGTCAGGTAATTATATGATTAATGATATAAAATTAAATATTGGTATCTGCCTACAATGAACCATTTCAGAAGAGGACAGAAGGAAGGACAGTAAAAAGAAGAGCATAAATAGACTCACTTTCTTTGTCTGAGACACTTATGAACTAATTAACCTAAGGAGCATTATATCCTCAGCAAAGGCAAAAGAGAACTGAACACTGAAGGCAAGACTAAAAAGCTGACTTCTGATTTCAGAGTCATGATAATTGTTTTTTTATGTGCTTGCCTTTGAGAAAAATCCGTCAGCAGCTTTGAGTTATCCAAGTGAATGGTAGAAACTGCAATAAAACAATCACAATAATAATAGCACTTCTGAAAGAATGAGAATCTAGATACATTTCATTTATATATATATGTAATAATTTTCACTTATGTAACTCTTTTCATCAAAGGGCTTCACATAACTATACCAAAATGGCAAATTTTACTGTTATGTCTGTAGATAAATTAAAGCACAGGGAAGCTAAATGACTTGCTGCATTGACCTTCTCACTTTCCCAGTGACTTGCAATTGAACTTGAGTCCTCAAATGCCTAATCCCTTGAGCTAGTATCTGAATCTTAGCTCTTCCCTTGTATTTAGCAGCTGTATTATGTTGTGAAGGTGGAAAGTTCTTTATAAAATATGAATATTATGGTTCTATAGCAACATTAATCTTCAAATCATTTAATCTTATGAACAATTAGTCTTCTGAAGAATACTGTGAAGTAGATTAGATGAATGTTGTTATCTTCCATATTTGAAGGAATATGACATAATCAAACAACTTTGTCTTATTTTAGACCTCTGGAACAACATGATGAAATCAGTTTTGTTTAAAGAAAATGGATAAGCATATGGAGGTTCAGCAAGATTTAGAGTTCCTCAGTATAACAGACGTGCGAGATTACTGTAAATTGCCATGTAACAACCCCTATCATGGGGTGAAATGACAAAGTTTAAAGGTTAGGCAGTCCAGGTTGCAACACTGTGGAGATAATCAAACTTTTCAGTCTGCAGGATGGAGAGGAGGCTGCCACATGGCCACAGGTTACAGAAAGTCTGTGACGTGGAGGGTGCAAGGTTAACCAAGACATGTTATTTGTTCTTCCTTTGGTCTTTCTACACTCTATCGGAGAGCTCCCAGGACTTATACATACTCCAGTTTTCTTCTGGTGTAATCTCTGTTGCAGACTCTTACTGAGCCTTTTGTGTGATCTCTTAGATCTAATAAGGAAAACCTGGATAAATCTGTGAATTTTCCTCATGTTTGTGAAATATTTGTACAAAATGTGCCAGTACTTGAACATGCAGGAGTTATGACACAGTGCACCACAATTTGTGTCATCAAGTTTGACATTTGCCAGCCGGAATCTACACAGTCCCTAAGCAGGTGTTCAGTTGAAGTTGTTAATGTGTTCTAAATTGATTTTGTGATCATTTCTGATATTGAGGTTCACAATTAGTTTTGAGTTTCATTTGAGATTATTAAATTATCCATTCACTCCATTAATTGCTTTCTAACAGTTTCAAATCTCCCTTTAATTTATGGTGTTCTAATAAAATGAAATCTCACGGAGAGAATAACATACTACACAGGCACAGTACAGCAGCAGAAATCCAAATAAAATAACTTGCATGATAAAATTGATGGTTTGAAATGGAGGATCTGCAACTGAATTAAATTGGAACTATTAGAGATGGTGGGTTTATAGTTTGCATGAATCATGATACTATTGAGAGTCTTAGAGAAGCTCTTGTGTTTGCTATCAAGGGTAGGCATGTTATATCCATTGTAATACACTGAATTAAAGCTGCAGAACTTCCAGTTACTCTTCGTTATAAATGTCCAATATATTTCATACTACAAACATGACAGATTCTCTGGTATGAAGCAGTTTCATCCTGCTGCATGTTACGAGTGAAAACAAATACACTGACCATCCGGCAGTGGATTTTATGATCACATGAAGTGACAGAGTTCATTTCCTACCCAGTTCTTCCACCAGTGATGCAAAAATCATTATTACCAACTGAATTATACGAAAACATACAACCACATGTATTGTGCAGGAAAGGAGCAGGAACAGCAGAAAGACTTCCTGCGTCCTGGTGAAAAATACCTGAACTACCATAATTTTATTAAACAAGATTAAGGCAAATTGACCTTTAAGTTCCTATAACATTCTGCTGACAGGCTAAGGCTGTGAGGTTAGTAACAGGAACAGAGAGGAGTAAGGATGACTTCTGTGACTTTGTTATCCATCCTTGTGCTCTGTACATTTTAAATGCATACCAGATTTGTGCAGCCCTGTTAGTTGCAGTAAAAGAAATTGCTTTTAAAGAAGCTAATAGATCATAGTGTGTATCCTGGCTTTTGAGAATGGATATATGATATCTGATTTTTCAGCTGTTCACGATTAATCTGACATATCCAGTCATATGGCAAGCTTTTAATTTTAAACTACAAACCCAGTCCATCTACAAGATCAAATGCATGATTTTTCAGTTTTATCTGTAATAGTACTTTTGGAAAGTCATTGTTCTCTTATGTTTGTATTTGGATTTATTCTTCTAGTCAAGTGTTCTGTTGACATTCACATGGTATCATAAAGTCAAGGAAAGGTAGGGAATGGGAATTCTTCTAATTTTATATCAAACTTTAAAGTGAAGTTTCTATGGGAGCTAAAACTGCAGTCACAGATAATAGCTGAAATTCACAATTGTTAGATTAAGTATTAAAATAGAAAAAAAATCAGCAGCTACTGAAAAAGCTTAAATGCTTCAAAGCCTCAGCATTTTAACATTCCCCACACCTTGTTACATTTCCTTTCTCATTTTCTGCTAACGGGGTTCATATTGGATTAAATCTAAACCTAAGCATGATAAAGCTTTTCATCTTCTGAACAGAGCATTTAGATGAAATTCCATCAGATTCAATAAAATTCTGTTAACTGGTATTTCCTTAGTTGTCACTCACACTTTCTTTTGACGTGGTCTTCCTCAACCTTGAATCACAGGATGTTAAAATTAATTTTTTTATTTATTAGAAGCAAGTAAAAAATTAGAGACAAATAAAAAAAACATGAAGACATTTTAATATGTCACTCCTACCTGTCTTGTTAGTGTTCAGCATTCCTAATCTAACGAATTTTACTTTATTGTATTTGTGTCAGTGCTGATTTTGAAGACTCTTCGCTTAGATATTATTTTGAATTTAAGAATGTATTGCATTTCCTAATAAATTATAATTTTTATGTTTTAACCTAATTTTACTGTCCTAAAATAGATAGTAAAATATTTTTATATAGGTCTTCTCTGTTTACATATGTATTCTTATCTGGAGACATTTCCAGAAACATCCTGCAAGATTTAAATTATGATTTTATTTTTAAATACCCATTTTTTTCAATTAGGTTGAGTTTGAAGATGGTTCTCAAATAGTAGTGAAGAGAGAAGAAATATATACACTAGAAGAAGAGCTTCCTAAGAGAGTAAAAGCGCGTTTTGTAAGTATTTGCTGATAATAACTTTATAGTATATATATGCCTAAAACGCCAATAACACTATCCTTGGCTTTATTTTGGATTTTCAGTTTAAGCTGGACAAGTGTTTTGTGAAGCATATATTAATAAGAGTGGATAAATCAGCACAACTAGGAGATGTACCCATTTGCTAGTGAGAATGGTTAGTTGTTCTTCCAGTGCAGACAAATACGGTTGTCAAACATAATTCTGGTCTCCTAAAAGGGACATCATGTTTGATCATCTGTCAGATCATGAATGATGAGGTTAGTAAACATTTGAATTGACAGACATTCTGTTCTTTCAGTATGCTTATAACGTGTATAATTTTTAAAAAACTTTCCAGCTTCTCAGACCTTTGTGATTTTAAAAACCTTGAATTTAATAAAAATGCAATTAACTTCATGTAAGAAACAATGTAACTGATCAGAACTCATTACTGTCACTGGCAGGACTCATCAACATTTTACTAGTCTTTGGTTTAAAACAAAATCTTTGCTGCTTTTTAAAGTCTCCTGCAGTTTCAAACCACTTACACCACCTAGTCATTTTTATGTATGTATGTCATGTGGAAAAGTGTTGACGTTCACAAAGAGCATGACACTTACAGGTTGAAAAGGGAAAATTCTTCCATACAATTATTAGAGGAGGTGACTGCTTTTACCTGACTTAGGGCAGTGCTCTCTAATGCAAAATGCAGTGGTCAGATATTCTTGATTAAGAAACCTTTTTGTTGATGAATTTGGGATAAATGCAGAAATCTTTCAGTATTCTGACTGTCTAGGGTTAAGATAGATGTCTTGAAAAATGTTAGGTGAACCATCTGGTTTTATTTAATGGGGTTTTTCATTATACTCAGAAAGCATACCATTACCATTTTTTTGTTTCAGAGACTACTTGGAAGAAGCAACTCTAATTAACTGCATGCTCTATAGAATACAAACTGTTGCATTTTGTGCAGAATAATAATAATTGGGTTTAAGCGATTGTTTTTTAAATGTATTTTTTACAACTCAATGTTTGTTTTTTAATTTATTTATTTGACACCATTAATTTCATTGGGGAGTTAGCTATAGGTTGAAAACATTAAATTTGGTCATCTGAATAAAACATACCACAGCCAGTGCATGATTTTCTTTGCATGATTTTCTACTAGTGCATTTTTTGGTTTTCTGCTAGTGATTTTCTGCTACTTTGCATGATTTGCTACTAGTGCCTCCAGTTCTAGAAATACGTAGGTTAGTCTTCCAGATATTCCCAACACCTCCTTCCCCTCCTCATGCTGAACATAGTAGAAGTTAAAGACAACTTATGACACTGTTTCTGTCTATTGAAAGAAATTATGCCAGTTCCTTCTAAATGATGTTTTTCCTAATATTTGGAATTTTTCTGTTAATCCAGCAGTGAAAGTTGGTCCAAAATATTCTGCCTTTGGTTTTTCCCAAATGGCTTGCTGTTTGGTGTCCCAGTGCTGTGTTAATATGGATTCCCAACTGTTTTAAGTTTGCTGACAAATGACTAAGTGGTGACTCTGGTTCTTTGCAAATTAGGCAGTGTACAGGTCTCTTTTCAGGGGCCCATGCTGTAGTACCTTGCATTTAAAACATCTCTGAATCATATGAAATGGTGAATAGTGCTTGATACCACTAGGATCAAACCTGCCCGACAGTTGCATCACTTCCATGTTGCTGGGGTTTTTTTCTCCCAGAATTAGAGGAATTGTGTGGTTTCTGGATAAAAGCTGAAACTACCAAGTGGTGTTAGTGACATGTTTCTAAGGAACACTGTAGACCTGGAGAATTAAATAATGAATGGTGCATGCAAAGTACGGAAAAGTAAAAATTATGTTTATGCATATGTGTAATTAATGTCTGGTTTTAGTCTACAGCCTCTGACATGAGATTTGAAGACACATTTAATGGATCAGATATTATCTTGGGAGAGAAGAAGAGGCAGAGAGTATTGAGTTCTCGCTTTAAGAATGAATACGTGGATGATCCGGGATACCGCACATTCTTGAAAAGCTCATTCCAGAAGAAATGCCAGAAGGGGCTATAAAGGTAGCAGATGAAGAGAGAGGGATGTTGATTAAAAAGCATGCAGCGTTATTTGGAATTGTTTTTTGTTTAATTGAACACTGTTTTACAACGAACTAGTCTATACACCATCCTCATAAACTGAAGTATTTGAGTTCTGATTTCTTCGGTTAATGTGTAAAAGGTTTTGTAATGTTTTGCATTATAGAACTAGGGGGAAAACCAAGAGAGATTATGAAGGGATATACTAAAGAAATGTTTCAGTCCTGCTGTCCTAGGTTTTTTGCAGGGGGATATTGCCTAGAGCAGTGTGGGTGTGGCTAAATTGCTGTTCTGTACCACCTAATTCATCTCGGGGGGGGGGGGGGGGGGGGGGGGGCGTGGCTTCAGAGGGAAGAACAAAAGGCGTGCTCACAGGAAGCACGCTGTTTTCATTACATTTCTTCCCTAGGGAAGCTGCTGGGCCAGCACTGTGGACTCTGAAAAGCAGTGAACATAGCCAAGATGTGGCTCCAAAAGAGCTGTGCTTCCAGCCGAGATGCAATTCCAAAGTGGTGGCACCACGCAGAATTGAATCTACAGAGCACTCTCAAAGTGGCCAGTGGAGTGCAGCACATACAATCTGGCTTTTGTCATAGTGTTTTTGTTTTCTTGGGCTCAGGGATGGGGAATGCTGGCTGTGAAGAGTATCCACCACCTTGTCTTTCTCCCAGGAGGCCATGTGGTGCTACTTGTGGAGAGCATGCACCACCTTGCCTTTGTCTTGGTGGCCTCATGGAACTAATTCGAGGTAGTGAACACCTCTTGTGTGTAAAGCACCTTTTCTATACTTTAGTCACTAATATTTTTGCTGTTACTGTGTGTTTCTTATTCTACTGTTTGTTTTCAGTAAATTGTTACCTCAACCTGTGGTCTCTGTCCCTCTCTCGCCAGAGGGGGGCGGGGGCAAGAGGAGCAGCTTATTTGAAGTTTAATTCCCAGCTTGTTTTTTAAACGATCACACCTGCTTACATTTAAATAAATCGTAAAATTCCCTTTGAAGATTCACATTCTGAAGAGGAGACATTTTAGTATACAGAGATAATGTCAGTGGCTCATTTTTTTCTGCACCTAAGTTCAGTAATAACAGTTTTTATAAAACATTTTTAAAACAAGTACAGATACGTACAGTACTGAGACAAACAAAGGCTGTGCTTACTTTGTACAGTGCTTTTACATATTTATATGACTACTGTTTTCAGTAGGGTTTGATGGGGACTCAACTATTGACTTAAATATTTTTGGCTTTTAAGAAAGATATCTGTAGCACAGCAAGGATGTTTTGTATATTTTAAGAGAGATTTTGGCAGTTTTTTCTGAACATGTTTTTCATAGGGTCTATTAAAAATATCTATTTGTTAAATACAAATTTCTTTCACTATGTGTATGAAAAAATAGAGTTCAAATATAACAACCTAGTTTTGAATGAATATATTATGGTCTGTCTTTTAAAATAAAGTTCTAGCAATGTATCATGTTTTAAAATAAATAAATAAATAAATAAATACTGTGCTTTTACTTGCAACATTTTGTCTGTTGATGTAATTTTCAGTCATATTATTTTATACCTGTAGGAATCAAGAAACTTCGTTATATGCTGTAGTTTTCTGAACAGAACAAATTATACACACAAACACTCACATAGCTTGATGTTAAAATGCAAACTTGATAAATACCGTACTTTCTATTTCCATTCAGTTTTTGGGATTCTGATGTTTTTGGATGTTTCACGGAAAACAGAAAGTCTGAATTTGTCTAAATACTTGGGTATGTGAACCTAGAGGAGAGCTTTATCAAAATGACATCATCTGTTCCTTGTAAATTGGACAGTCAGCAGGATTTCGACTGCCTGCCACAGGAAAAAGAACCCTCTCAAAATCCAATTTAAATTGAGCACTGCTGCTTCTAGGGTTCTACTTGCAAAAAAACATGACTATATGGACCCAAAGATTTTGTCATTACGAAACCAAGCTTTTACATGCTGAGACACACATGTCTCTGTCTAACTGAAGGCCTTGCATGACTATTCTTATTTTTTCAAGTGGACAATGAAATCTTTTCAATTACTTTGTGACACCTCAATTGATAACGTAAGTTTGCTTGAATGTTATATTGTCTGTCTTTTCGTGTACCATGAAATCACTCAGAATCCCTTAGAAATAAGAAGTTGCTTAGCTGTGACAATTGGAATATATATCTAATTGACAACTCTTTCTCTAAAGGCAATGGATTGTGGTGGGTGCTGTCAAACATATTTCAGAACATCAAGGCTCTCTCTGGTGGTGTAAAGAAAAATTAATAATAGATTTGCAAAATGCAAGATTGGTGCTGCCTTCTGCAATAACATGCAGCTGATAACCTAATGTACTGGGTTTGCGTGGACAGGTTTTGATAGCAGGAGGCTACGGGGTTGCTTCTGTGAGAAGCTGCCAGAAGCTTCTCCCCTGTCCGGCAGACCCAATGCCAGCTGGCTTCAGGGTGGATGCACTACTGGCCAAGGCTGAACCCACCAGTGACAGTGGTAGCACCTCTGGGATAACATATTTAAGAAGGAAAAGAAAGTTTTGGGGCAGATGTAATTGCACTCAGAGAAGAGCAAAGTGAGAATATGTGAGAGGAACAACTATGCAAACACCAAGGTTACTGCAGAAGGAGGGGCAGGAGGTGTTCCAGGTGCTGGAGCTGAGATTCCCCTGCAGCCCATGGTGAAGACCGTGGTGAGGCGGCTGTGCCCTTGCAGCCCATGAAGGTCAGTGGGAGGGCAGACATCCACCTGCAACCTGTGAAGGAGACCCACCCAGAGCAGACTGATGCCCCAGAGAGGACTGTGAGCCCATGGAAAGCCTGTGCTGAGCAGGCTCCTGGCAGGGACATGCAGACCCATGGAGAGAGGAGCCCACACTAGAGCAGGTTTCCTGCTAGGACTTGTGACCCTGTGGAGTCGGTCCCATGTTGGAACAGGCTGTGCCTGAAAGGCTGCATCCCATGGAAAAGTGACCCACACTGGAGCAGTTCAGAGAACTGTCCATCCTGTGGGATGGATCCCATGGTGGAGCAGAGGAAGGACTCTTTCCCCTGAGCAGTGGCAGGAATGAGTGATGAACTGACAGTAACTCCCGTTCCCAGTCTCTCTGCACTGCTATGAGGGAGGAGATAGAGTCCAGGAAGGAGAGAGGGATGTGGGGAAGGTGTTTTTTAAGATTTTATTTTACTTCTCGTTAGCCTACTCTGATTTTGTTAGTAATAAATTCAATTAATATCCCAAGTTGAGCGTGTTTTGCCTGTGACAGTATTCAGTGAGAGATTTCTCCTTGTCCTTATCTCATCAACTCATCAACTTTTCTTATATTCTCTCTCCCCTGTCCGCTTGTGGAGTGATAGAGCAGGTTTGGTGGGTGCCTGGCATCCAGCCAGAATGAATCCATTGCAGCTAATAACTGATGCTTAGTTTCATAGGGTGAGAATTAAAAAAAGACTTTAAAGCACTGGGTCGGTCAGTTCAAGGGACAGGAGCACAGGTGATATTTGCCTCAGTTCCTGTGCTATCTGGGATGGATGAGGAGTTAAATAAAGAGAGGAGTAAAAAAGCCCAACTCCTCAACAGATGGCTAAAGGATTGGTGCCACCGTCAAAATTTTGGGTTCTTTGACCATGGGGCAAACTCCATGGTACCTAGTCTCTTAAAATCAGATGGGATTCATCTGTCTAGGAAGAAAAAGAGGACTGTAGCCCGTAAGTTAACGAGGCTGATCAGGAGGGCTTTAAACTAGGTTTGAAGGGGGAAGGGGTTGAAACTGGGCTCTCCAGTGATCAACCTAGGGATGGAAAGCCTGAGTTAAGAATTAAATCAACAGCCCACCTGCAGTGCATGTATGTCGGAGTTGGTTAGAAAAGGCAGCCAGCCAGCTCAGCGTGGGGTCGACAAAGCTGAATCAAACTTTATTAAAATGGAGGATCTTTATAGGGATTGGGGAGGAAGGTTCAGGAATTTGGGAGGAGCATGCTAATCCTCCAACCAGGATTGGGTATGGGAGAATACATAAACATAGGGAACATATACATATGCATGACGGGGATAGACAGCAACAAGGAAAACAGGGATTGGTTGAGCTGCTGCGGCTCCACGAACTGTCCAATGACAGCTGACACCAGCTCTTGAGCACGATGACAGCTCAAGCTGCAGCTCAGGGACAACATTACACCCAAAAATCCTTTACAGCACAAGTTGTTTTACCACCATGATTATACTCTTTAT